AGTTCCATGTCTTCTTCTGCTTCACATCTCCAAATCAAATCTGTCCCCCATCAGGTCGTTCACTCGAATGGGGGTAGTTCTATCCAGAACGCCCCAAAATTCTGGTTGATTTGTCGAGAGTAGAGCCCAATTTATCCTCCCCTCCCATGTTGCACAGGGTACTCTAGCGACTGCTTTATCGAACTCCGAGTTTGAGATGGTGACTCATTTGGATGACCTTACTACTTACTCTCGCCCCATTACGGGGCAAACCATTGTTGAACCCCTTCCCCAAATCAATTTTGGATCCAGCCCTGCATTTTGGAGATGGGACTTTGATTCCCTCTTCATCACACTCCTCTTCTTGTTCTTGACAATTACATGGTCATCCATGATCAAGTCACCCCCACCACTCATCTATTCATCGTCGAGGTCATTGCTCGGTGTCTGCATCTAAAAAACCGTCCCACTTTGAAACTCTTTTTCACTTTTCCCTTTTTGTCTGGGCCAACACCTATGAGAATTTGAGATATGTTCAAGTCTCCCAGTGGCAAGGCCACCGCACCGCCTGTTTGTTGCCAAGTCTTATCCTGATTTGCATATTAACTCGAAAAACAAATGGGTGTGGGTTTCCATTCTGAAAGGTCCCTTATCATTTGCCCTTATCTATGAGGGTGCCCGTTTCTACATGGGGCATTACGTAGGTGAGAATGATGTGCTGATCTTAGAGTTTCTTTTAGGTCAGCTTGGCTTTATTTGCTTCAGTTTATATTTCTCATTACTTTGATTTGATGATGTATGTCTTGTCTATGTTTTGCAGAGGATGATAAGATGGTATCGAGACTAGAAAGGCTATCCTCCCTGGCTGGCAATACTTCAGATTATGACCAGGAGAGTTCTTTCCAAGAACGTACCTGAGACGTAACCCCGACAAAATCTAATGGACCATCTTGCGAGGGTGCGGCTACGTTACTGCGCCTTGCCACATTGCTAAGGACACCAATTCCCTTGGGATCCGAAGGGATAGTAAGAGTTGAGAGTGTCTCTCACATCATAAGAGGAGTTGGCTTTGAAACCATAACCCAAAAGTGAGTAGAGTTTCTCTTGTGGCTTTCCTAGGCGTCATGCGAAATGTCTGTGGTACAGTGTACAAATCCTCACAGCATCCAATTTTTTTAGGCTATCCATGATCATTCAACTTTCACTTTTTCACTTCTCCGTTACATTGAGGGTTAGCCACGGATGCCCTACTAGCCTACACGCCTCATTGTGTGCAAAATTTCTTAAAGGGTGTTGAGTCAATTGTAAATTGGCGCCCATTGTCAATGATGATTGATAAGTCTGTATTTCAACACGCATTTGATGCATGTTGAGATCGGTTTTTGATAGTTTCCTAGCTTAAATATGTCACAAAGCTCATAATTATCTCAAGTCATGATTTATTGGGTTTTGGTGTATGTTTGGTATTTTTAGTCAAAATAAGGAATTAAGCTCGACACCGGCGTTTGAGAAGTAATCGAGAGATTTAAGACGCATTTGGGAGTTTATTAGGATCATTGGAGGTCAATGAGGTGTTAAAGACGAAGGTTTGAAGACAAAAGAGCTCTAGGATTGGCTACGGGATCAAAAGAAGACGGATAGAGCTTTAATTGAAAACGACGATCAGGATGGCATTATGTCAATCGTTCAATCATATCTTTTTTTAGAAACATCAAAAGTACACGATTAAAGTTCCATATGAAAGTTAAATTCAAGGGATACAAATCATATGAAGACACCACGACGAGAATATGAAAGGGGCAAGGTAAAAATAGACGAGGAATTCAGATAAACGCTATTGAGATTTCAAGGTGCGGCCTTCCACCATTGTATTCATATCTTTTGATTGAATGATCCAAATCCAGTTTTGCAAGTTTTGGTGGATATAAGACTTCTTTATATACAACTTCGGATGTGAAAGACGCACGCCGAGCGGGATGAATTGAGAGTCCCTAGAGGGAGTGCTCGGTGAGCGCATGACGGGCGCTCGCCGAGCGGAGGTGCTTTACGGAAAATAATAAAATCCGGTGGTGATGTGTCTGTTAATCCTCCTATTTGGGCCCCATGTGATGTGTCTGTTAACTCTAAATTTAGATAGGCCTTTGTTCTTATTTGGGTTTGGCTAAGTTAAGTATTTATTTTCCGATCTGGGCTATAGGTCAAGCTCATAGTACCATAAAAACTATAATGCGTAAAATGCATAAACAGTACCTTAACTATTGGTAATGATGCATTTTAGTAACTTAAGTCTTTAATGAAGCAAATCAGTACCTCAATTACGTTTAAATGTTGCATCCGGCGGCACCATATTTCTTTTGATTGTGTTGAGGTGGAATGTTATTAAGATATTCATATCTTGCTAAGGTATTTCTTTTGATTGTCTCCATTACTTTCTCAAACTGATGGACATGGATACTTTGTGCCCCTGCAAACACAAGACCCTTGGATCCAACTATGTGAAAACGCTTCTTGGGATTGGTGCATATGTCTTATGCAGAACATGTGCTCAACTTCGGGAAATAATTCATCCATAACAGGGATCAACCCCTACAAGTTATGAACAATATGAACTTAGATGGGATATACACTTATTAAATACATAGCATCATGAAAGAACATAGAAAAATAAATTAGAAAATGAAAAAAATATGTGTCTATCTGACATAAAAACCCAAAATCGTCTATCTTCATCAATCCCAACATCTTTTGCAACGAGCTCTAAAACCCACTTCCAGTTTGTTTTGTTCTCCCCTCTGAATCACAGCCCAAACAAAAGGATAAATGCAATAATTTGCATATATACCCACATTGGTTAACAATTGGCCTCCATATATACCCTTCAATCAAGTGTAATCAATTAAAATAAGCCTCTTACAACAATTGAATCCTTTTTTCAAGGACACGATGCATACATACATTGACTTAAACACTTGATCCTCTGAATCAGACACAACTATTGACCCTTGGGTTGCTTTTTAAAAGTTCATGTCCATATGATTACAACCTTTCCATCTGCTTAATCTCATCTCCTTGAATAAACCTAATGGCAATGTCTCTAGCTCTTCAAGCCGCGTTCCTTGAAATTCCACACTACAATTTCTTTTAACACTTGTTTGTATATTTGAAATCAACCGTGTAGGATCAATTCTAAAACTTTAAATGTAATAATTAGAGATGAACTTTGCATTAATATGTTGTTTGTAGTTCACCATTGCACATTGATGTTTTAGGTTTGCACTTTTGATCTGAACTGCACTCTTATCTAGATTTGTGAGATATGCCCATATGTAGAAACCACATTAGTTTTTACTTATGGCCTTACATTTTTTTGTTATTTGGATAGAAAATAACTAGGTCCTTTGGTCTTACTAAAGCCTTCTTCACTGCATCTTTAAACCGCTTGAAATTGTTGAAAATGATGCCAACTTTAAACTCAACATCTTTAAATTTATTTCATTGAAAATGGCCGGTGTGACTTTCTTATTGTGCCATGACTACTATTTGACTCATCTGAACATGCATACAACTCATCTCATAGTGAATAAATTATATCTTCTGAAGCATCTGACTCAAGACGACACACATTAAGATTGTTTGCATTGTGTTTCTCTGTCTCCTTAATTATCCATAAAGTAATCAAATAGCTCATCACATTTTCAATATCATCCCCTAGAAGATCATAATATGAATCATACAGATTTGAATCAATATCTTCATGACTAGTTTTACCATCATGATTAGAATGCACGAATTATGAATCAACATTTAGCATAAATATATAAAATTATGTCTGTAGTAGCAAAAGATGACATTTCTAGTACATCACTAGCAATCTCTAAAATTTGTATTACTACAACTGGGATACTTGTTTGGATGCTTCCAGAATATATAGTTGCAAACAACCACCAACCAACCTACAATCTTCAGCCATATGATCTTATCTCCAATTCGGAAATCTTATCAAATGAAGAATAATCAATACAACCCACATCATTACAATTAAAGTCATTATCAATTGTATGACATTTTATAGTAAAGTAATCTGGGTGACTTAAAACGTATGTGCTAATTCAATGATCAGACGCCTCGATTCGTCATGGAGTTTTAACCATGCTGATGGATCTAATGTAATTTTTTATTAGTGAATATAATTTTTAAAGTAATGTACCAGATTAATTTTTTTAATTAATGAAGTAAAATTTTCTCATGTAATGAATAGTACCTTATCCAATATAACTGAATTATAACGATAAAATCAAACAAATAAACCTAATATTATTCATGGAAACTTACCTGACGTAGGAAAAGGTTCGCCTTCAATTCGTTTCCATCAATCTTTTGACATTTTGGATGCAAAGAATTAGAATGTGCTCCTTTGCAGAGAATCAGAAGTGTGGATGTAAGGAATGAGATGTGTTGATGCAAGGAATGAGAAGCTGATCACCTGCAAGGAACTAGAAGGTGCTCTTCTCTTCTTGAATGGCTTAGATTAGACTTGCCTGAATGTTCATCGTACTAGAGCACTTGCTTTGGAGTCGGATGGAGAGTTTTTTATCGACAAGATTCAGAGTCCGAATATAAGAAGTGCAAATGTTTTTAGGAGGGTACGATAAAGATTTGAGCAATGTAAAATGTTGTTGTGAGTAAAAATAAAGATTAGGAGGTATACATGGATTTGCGGCCGACATGTGCATTTTTTGGACGGAATATTGAATGGTACTGTCAAAAAGTAGGAAACAACATTTAAACGTAGTTGATGTAATGCTTTGCTTCATTAAAAATTAAGGCACTAAAATTCATCAAACAATATTAAGGTGTCTTTACGTTTTACTCAAAAGTAATACTTCTATTTCATAATTTCAAAACTTTTTTAATCCAGATTTTTTTAAAATTTTATGAGATGAGGTAGTTGACTTTTTTACTTGAGAGTTGAGAGAAAAAATGGAGCCAGCCTTAAAAATATGTTGTCGGTGTAATCCGGCCCGTTTCAGAAACGTGACATCCCCTGACTTTCTAGTTTCTAGACCCACTAGGCCACAACGACCAATCCCATTACTCTCTTCCACCACCGCCGGTCCTCCTCCTCCGCCACTTCTGCAATCATAAATTCGCATCTCCTTCAGTTCATCATCCTCTTCCATACAACCCGCCAGCACAAATGGCCGGTCGCTCCTCCCCTGCACAAGATTCCGATCGGTACGGTCAATCCTCTCCCGAAACCCTATCCTCGCCCCACAAAAAGAGCCCTCCCCTCCCTTGGACCCCCCAAGAGACGGTCAACCTCATCCAATCTTACAGAGAGAAGTGGTACTCCCTCAATCGCGGCCAGCTCAAGGCCGGCCAGTGGGAAGAGGTCGCTATAGCCGTAGCGGCCCGCTGTGGATTCGACGAGCTTTCCAAATCCTCCACCCAGTGCCGCCACAAGATTGAGAAGCTCCGGAAGCGCTACAAATCCGAACGGGTCAAGCCCTACCCGAATTCCTGGCAGTTTTTCGAGCTCATGGATCAAATGGAACGTGGACCTTTGCCAATCGCTGCTCTTCCCGTAGCCATGGTAAAGTATCCCGACTCTAATTACGATCACAATGTGTACGATGAGGATGATGATGGGTATGCAGGTTTTGATTTCAAGCAAAATAAGTCGAAGAGCATAAACAACCTTGTGAATTACACGAACAGAACTGGTACTAATGATCCCAGGGGTTATGATGAAGAGGAGGAGGAAGAGGGGTTGGATGAACATGGGACAGAGGAGGAAGATGGGGACAGTAAATTGGCAGACGAAATTAGGGGTTTCGCAGAGGGGTTTATGAGGATTGAGAAGAAGAAGATTGAAATGATGAAGGAGGCTGGGAGGCACAGGATGGAGATGGAAAAGAGGAGGATGGATATGATTCTTGAGACACACAGGAAGATTGCTAATTCTTTCAGTAGGATCTTTAGTCCAAATAAAAGAGTCAAAACAGAAATATAGAATGTTATTATTCTACTTACATCCACATTTATGCAATCCATTTATTTTCTTGCATTTGCCTTTGGACTGCTATTAGGCTGATGATGATTCTGGAGTAGAAAACGATAGAAACCGATATCTTGATGTGTTTCAAAATCAGAGGAGCTTATGATGTCTATCTAGCGTGAATGCCATCATACAAGTCATCTTGGGTCTTGTCTTTGATTCTAAGGCCCCGGGTCATGACTTCGTTTATAGATGTAATTTGCATTTATCAATGATGGAAATTGTATCCTTACAGGCTCCAGTTTGTAATTTGCTATAATTTAAGAATTTTATTTTATGTTTTTTAAAGGATTGTGGCAATGCTAGACTTCTAGCATACTTTGATTCCTCTAACTTATGGGAGGCCTTGAACTTGAACTTGAACTCTCTTCTGTTGGTCGTGAGAGTTGACCCTCTAGCAATGACAGGATTGTTTGGGCTATGTTGGGCACGGGCATGTTCACTATGAAAGACTTGTGATGATGATGATGATGGGAACTCGGTAGATTTTGATTATGGGTTCGGAAAGATTCATCTGTGTGGAAAGCTATTCACATGGATTCAAGCATACTTTGTAAGGAAGGTGAGTTATCATCTTAGACTTCATTCTTCTCATGAATTCCAGCATGCTTTGTTTGAGGGAAACCCTTTTGCGGATTGCCCAGCGAACTTGGCTTATGACACTCTGAGTTGGCTCCTGGCTCTTCATCCAGAAGAGCGTCAGCACCTTAGTACCTTATGTGGGAAGCCTATGGCGGCCTTATAGGTTATAACACATTAGATTCAACTAGTTTTTTTTATCTTCAGTTCTACGATAAAAGAAAGGTAAGCATGCTACTTTTTCACAAGTTGAGTAATTCCCTTATCAATAAAATTTACATAGTACTCCTTCCGTCCCACTAAGATTGCCCCATTTTACCTTTTCGGAAAATTCCACTAAGATTGTCTCATACCATATTTGATAAAGTTTGTCTCATACCATATTTGATAAAGTTAGTGGGACAGTGGGACGGAGGTAGTATGACTTAAATGTTGCCTTATTTCAACATGTTCAATTAGATACCATACTACCACCGTTAAAAAACTTGTTTTTCAGTAATCTGTTTGTCCAAAGAAAGTAAATTGGTTTTTAGAGTAACTCTCTAGTTTAAGTAAATTTCTTGTCAAGTCTAGCAAGAAGCGGATTTTGTCAACTACTTCAGTTAATCAAATCTTAGAAACAAGTTTTAGGGTATAAAGAACATTCTAAGAATTTGCTAAAGATTTTAACCTTTGCTTGAGTTGATTGAAAATAAGAAGTCCAATAGTTGAAAGTTTATGTGTTCTATAATACTCCGTAAATAGCTTGACATGCTTTTTTTCAATTTTACACTGTGTTTAGGTAGTCCAAAGAGAGTTGAAGGGTATGTAACTACAAACATATAGGGGCGGTCCGGGCGGATACAATACAAACTGTATTTATTGTGCAAAACTTTATATGATGCATCCTTACGTTATTTGTATTGCATATTGATGTTCGAAGTGTTGCATATTATTATGCGATGAAATACACAGTTGCGTATAAAAGTTCAAGGTGTTGCATTCGAAAAAATTTGATTTTATTACCAAAATGTTATCGTGCCTTTCCTGCTGATGAAGTATATGGCCCAGGAATCCCCGGGCCATAGACTCCTACTATTTTGATGACGACCCAATAGACACAGGGAGCACAGCAGGCCCAAAACACAGCGCCCAAGAACTGAGCAACTAACGTAGCACATTGGGAGTGCCTTCGGCCCCCTGGCCGAAGGCTCCAGATTCTCACAGGATGGCTAACTTAAGCAAACGAAGTTGCTGGGAGAAAACGGCGAAAATCAGTAGCCCTCGATACCCAGAGCCCTCGGCACTAAGGGGCCCCCGGTACTCAAAGCTCTCGGCTAATCATCTACAGCCGAGGGCACCTTTTCTCGACATAATATCCACTCAACGTGCGCCTGGATCACCGTACCAAGTACGACGTCACATCCAACGGCCGCATTAAAAGCGGCCACATGCTGTTGCCAACGCCAGCCAGTTGATGTGACCCCTCAGCCAATGGATGTTTGACACGTGTCCCTATCTGGCATTTATTACTACTATAAATAGCACCCCATTTCCCCATTTGTAACCCAAGCAAAATACGATTAATACATATCGAATATACACTCTCTCTCTTGTTCACTTGCTCTAACTTCTCTCTAGTTATTCTCCGCAATAACCCCTCAGGTAAGCTACCCCCGGGTACACTATCCATCATTTGGTGCTCTCGTTGAGAGGTCGAATAATCAAGTAAGAAACCCTCCCCCTCACCAAACACAAAACACCTAGCTAAGATGGTGAGAACAACTCGTGCCAACTCCAAGAACGTTGAGGACAGGAACCTGGCCCTCGACGAAGTCGACGTCCCCGAAGCCTCTAACAGGGCTCCCAGGGGCGACGTCATCGTCGGGTTGGACCAAACGGCTGTCGACCTACGCCATCAGATTCAACAGAATGCCCCCGATGCCCGCCTCGGCATCGAGGCCAAAAAGAAGGACCGGAGCGAGAATCAAGTTAGCCCTCCGTTCATCACAATCGACGTACAATCGGCGTTTTCCGCCTTCATCCAGACGCTCACCCAGAACCCAGGTGCCTTCGGCACTTTGGTTCCCCTCCAACCTCAGGTCGGGGAGAATATCATGCCCTCCCCTCATCCGCACCCCCTCGGGAATCCTGTCCTCCGGATTGAGAATGTCGAGGGGGTCGTGGCCCAAGATACGGCCTCCCAGGAAGTCCAATCCCGGGACCGCCACAACATGAACAAAGAACAGCCCCGGACCTCCGCCCTCGAAAGACTCGGAGGGGCGCGAGACCGCCGAGGGGTCCAAGACCGCCTCGGGGGGAAGGTGCTCCAGAGGCCTCAGGAAAGTGGCGGATCTGTCTCCAGGTCTAATGAAAGACGTCCCCCTCAGGACAAGGGCATGGCACTTCTCCACGCCAACGATGCCCGTCACCAAATCAACCAAGCCCACTCGGCCCGTGTCCATTCGCAGGGGGCGAAGGCCCTCCCAAAGGACCCCCGGGACGAAATCATTGCGGCCCTCCAACACCGGCTTGACGAGATGGAGGCCACCAAAGCACACGCCACCACTTCTGCCCCTCATACCGACCTCAAGTATGAGGCCATGTTGGTCAAAATGGAGGAAATGCAGAAGAAGATAACCGAGGGCTCCAGGGAACCCACCATACAGCTCCGGACCCAGACGCCATTTACCCCAAGGATATTGGCGGCCCGGATCCCGGAAAAATACCGAGGGCAACTCATCAAGCCCTACGACGGAACAACTGACCCCCAAGAGCACTACAGCAGATACCAAAACAGTATGATGATGGTGGGGGCATCAGATGAGTATTTGTGCCGCTGGTTCCTCTCCACCTTAGAGGGGCCGGCTTACGAATGGTTCAATCGACTGCCCGAGGGCTGCATTGACTCATGGCAAGAACTCGCCCAACGATTCTTGACACAATTTGCGGGAAGGTGCCGCACAAGGAAACACTTCTCCCACCTGCTGACAATGAGGCAAAGGAAGGAGGAGACCCTTCGAGACTTCATGGAGCGCTGGAGAACGGAGGCTGATAAAGTTGATGGTGCAGACGACGGGACCCTCCTGGCCCTCCTCCAGACAGTGCTCCGACCCGGCAATTTCTCAAGGAGCCTCATCATCGACCCCCCTCGCGATTATACAAGGGCTCTACAGCGGGGGGGACAGGTACGCCGAAGCCGAGGAGGTGGAAAAGTACAATCACAACCCCGATCAGCAACGCCCTCGGCCAGACGACAAAGGCAACCGGGGGCCGGGGGCTCCCCGTAACCAACCCAAGGATTCGGCACCCCCCGGTGATCGCCCCCGGCACGGCCAAGCCAAGCCCGGGGGAGGTTACAAGGGGAACCTGAGGGATTGGGCACAGCCTGTTCTCCTGGAGCACCCTCGGACACCTTTGACGCACCCCGTCAGCGTCATCCTTGATTTCGCTGAGGAGAGGGGCCTGGAGGAGCGAGATTCCCGCGCACCCCCGGAAGTATATGCCATCAATCCAAACTACCCCTACTGTCGCTTCCACCGGCATCAGGGGCACATAACCGATGACTGCCATCAGCTGAAGACGGCCATTGAAAGGTTGATACAAGCGGGCCATTTGTCCCAATTTGTCCAGGGCCCTCAGCAACAGGGCCCCCCTCACCAAGGGCCACCTCGAGGGCACCCTGCGAGAGCAAACACATGGGTCAACCCCAACACCATCCCCCTTGGCAAGAAGAGGGAGATTGGGAACCTGGAAGAAGAGGAGGAAGAGTACCCTCGGTACCAAGAAAAGAAGCGCCACATCCTCATGATCACGGGGGGCAATACCGGGGGTGATTCTACAAGTCAACGAAAGAAGTGGGCTCAATCACTTTACGTGGGGGAAGTCACTCATATGCCCCCAGTAAAGCGGCTGAGGGAGGAACTCATTACCTTCACTAACGCTGATCTCCCCCCAGTGTCCTCTCCACACTGGGATGCCCTCGTCATCCGCACGGAGATCAGTGACACTATCATTCACCGAACTTACATTGACACGGGCAGCTCCGTCAATGTAATGTACCTCAGTACCTTCAGAGAGCTGCATATGGAGAGGGGGTCCCTTCGGCCCATCAAGACCCCTCTTACCGGCTTCACCGGCGACACCATTGATTCCGAGGGGGTCATAACCCTCCCGGTAGTCTTCGGCGATGGGCTCCACAGAGTCAGGCTCGAAGTGGAGTTCGTCGTCGTCAACATCGACTGCGCCCACAACATCATCCTCGGCCGGCCAGCCCTCGAGGATCTCGATGCCGTCATCTCCATGAGGCACCTCTGCCTCAAGTTCCCAGCCGAGGGGGGAATCGGTTACTCAAGGGGGAACCAAAAACTTGCCCGCACTTGCTGCCTTCAAGTGACAAAGAAGGTTAGCAAGACGGAGTTCCGCGTTGACACCATCACCGGAACCGTGGAAGCAGAGGAAAGGAGACTGAGGGCTGAACCAACCGAGGAGGTAGAAGACTTTGCGCTCGATCCGGCCAAGCCGGAGAGAGTCGTGAAGATTGGAGCCAAGCTCCCCGAAGATTTGAAGACCGGCATCATCAGCGCCCTCCGCGCCTACTCCATTGTTTTTGCATGGGGGCCGAAGGACATGCCGGGGATCAGCCGAAGGGTCATCACCCACCGCCTCTCGGTGGACCCTTCGGCTAAACCTGTACAGCAGCGGAGGAGGCCCCTCTCGGCTGAGAGGAGGGAATTTGTGAAGAAGGAGGTCGCCATGCTCCTCTCTATCAAGTACATTAAGGAGGTAAAGTACCCCTCATGGCTGGCAAACGTAGTCCTCGCACAAAAATCGCCCTCATTCCGCATGTGCGTGGACTACACGGATCTCAACAAGGCGTGTCCCATGGACCCCTTTCCTTTGCCAAATATTGATCAACTTGTAGATGAAACCGCGGGGTGTGAAATCATGTCATTTCTCGACGCATTCCGTGGGTATCATCAAATATTTATGCATGAGGAAGACGTTGAAAGAAGATAGAACTATCAAATAAGCCCTCGAACTTTCATAAAAAGTGCAAATAAGCCCTTTTATAGGCCAAACTCCATGTTAATTAACATGGAGTTCATACTTTTTGCAAGTTTTTTATGTTGACAAAATGATGTTTTAAGGAAAGAATGTAAACAAAAATTGGCCAGCTATAATTGGTTGGACGACACCATATTTCAGGGAGAGAGAAATAGTAGAAATAAAAGCACGTGATTTTGGTCTAGGTCATGATACATATAATGTGCACTCAACTGGATAGGAAGATACAGGAAATGGCGAAATATTGACAATGGCAAACGCAAAAGAGGTACACTTAGAATTCATAAATGACATAATTTTTTACTATGAATCTAACATATGTATAAAATATCAATTTTTGGAATGGTGTACTGCTAAAATAAACACGTTAGCCACAACCACCATTCAAATCATGAACATGGTTGAAGAAGCTCAAGAAATGCTGCTATGAAATGAAAATGTTAAGAAAATCCTAGAGGCTACTAATAAATTACTCTATGTGGCACAAAAACAACCAACAAATGAATAGATTGTTTTTTTTGTCAAGTACTACCACAAACATCTAGGCTTTAGTGCAAATGGAGACCGTTGCGATGAGAAAATTGTGGTACATTGAGAAGATGGATGAGGTTCCCACCTTCATTATAGGACTCGTCAAAGATAATGTTATTGAGAGAATAACAAACAATGCAAATGAAGCTCTGGACAGTGGTGTTAATATTGATGGAGATAAGCAAGCAAGGGAGGAAACAAAAATGGAGATTCATCCATTGGCTAAAGTAAGAGATGTATTAACAGAAGATATTATGTGTAAATTACTTATTTCAAAGTAGAAATAATTTGAAAAAAACGAATTGATGTTTTAGGTGAAGCAAGAGGTAAGCAAAGATGCAGTAATGCAAGAAATAATGCAATCCGTTTGCAAGTAACTTAGGTACCATTATTATATACTGTGGGGGGGGGGGGGGGGGGGGGGGGCGGACCTA